CGTATGTATACATATATGTGAGATAATATTTAGAGACGAGACTATTTCCCTATCTGAGAGATGTTCCACCGCGGTGAAAACTATGGATTAGGATTGACAATTGAATTTGTTGCGTGAACTTAAAATGAAAAGTAAAGGATATTATCGATAGAAACGTTCAAAAGAGAAACAAATAAGACTTTTGGTACATTTTATAAAAGATTTTTTGTTTATGTCTCATTTCAGATTTATTCATAATTGGAATTTAGTTGTATTGTCAATTATGACTGTCGAATGTATTTTTTGTTCTACACAGTGTGTGAAATATTGTTGTCCTAGTTGTGATCGAATGACTCGTTCGCAGAAGTTCGGACGTTTACTTCAAGTTCTGGAGCGGTGTTCTGAAGGTATCGTTTATCACGATGAGATTGTTAATGCTGTACAACGAATTCGACGAGCAAGTACATATTCGTATGGTATCAAATGTATTTTGTACTGTTTAGATGGAATCGATGATGTCACCATTGGAGTTTCGTCCTTATGGGGTGTTCGATGATAGAATCCATGTGGTGGATTTGATTGCAAAGGAATATCTTGAAAAAGCATCGGCGGACGTACAGCATCTTATTCCAGTCGATGTTGATGCTGATGGAAATTGTTTATACCATTCTGTTATTCTTTTGATGAATGATCCAACACTAACAGCAAGTGAATTACGAGGTTCGTAGAGGTTTTTGACATGTGTGTTTTGATAGTAGGAAAAGTTTGACAATTTTTTAGTTCGCACGATTATAGAACTTGTAATAAATGAAGCGTTTTATTCCAATATGTACACGCATCGTGCCGGACTTATTGATATAGCTATTAAAGCTATATGCAAAAATCGAACATATTCGAGATTGTACGAAATTTGTGCTTTATGTAGTGTACTCAAATGCAATATACGAAGTGTCTATCCAGAAATTGACTTTAGAGCTGACATGGCTGTGATGAATAGTATATATACACCTATTCCGCCGATCATTGTTAATTATGAAGTTGCAATTTTGTGGTCGAATGTCTGGAAAGAAATGCACGTGCGAGCGGTCAATAATAATCTATGGAGTCCGAATCATTTTGTGCCTCTCTTAGCATCAATTCAGCAATATGATTTTGATCATAGGAATCAATTATTATTATCTAATGTCAAAGTAAACGATTACACCTCAAATAAATGTTCTAGCAATTTTTATTTTCAAAACTATTTTCTTTAAGACTCCTGAAAAGAAAACATTTAAGAACAATGCAGCCGCTCAAATACGCATGCCTGAATTTGAATCTTCTCCCAACAGACGTGTACGTAGCGATATCATTATTGAAAGTGAACGCACTAAAGCAATCAGCCCGATTGCAATCGAATAGGCTCAAGCGAACATAGAAGAAGAACATGAAAACCGACTTTCTCTTTTGAGAGAACGTGCGCGTCTGAGACGAGTTAATCAGACGGAGGAACAACGTCAAAATCGACTTGCGAAAGACAGAGAACGAACTCAATCTAGATGGGAAAGTCAGGCTGAGGAGCAACGGCAAGATCGACTTGCAAAAGATAGAGAACGAGCTCGATCCAGACGACGAAATGAAACAGATGATCGATATCAGTTAAGGATCAATTATCAAAGGGATCGAAGTCAGGCCAATAGAACCGAAAAAAGACTAGAAAAACGGACATCTGATAACATCATTATTCAACAACAGAACATCAATATGACAAAGAAAAAAAAAAGTCAAATTCATTCGACTTGGCCAGCGCCAATTCCTACTGACTTGAAAAAAGAATGTTTGCAACGATTTCGTCGCCAGATGTCTATGTCCGTATTGGCTGAAGTGACTTGTGCGGTCTGCAATATTCGCAGTTCAGAACAGGAGTCAATAAAAATGCCAATGTCAGAAATTCCTAATTTACATCTACTCAAAATTTCTGATGAACTTAAAAATTTAGTCATCAATACTCAATCATCTAGTTTGAAAAACTCTAACGGTAATGTCATACGGATAACAAAAACATTCAATATTATATATGCAATCCTGATTTTATTTTAGGTTCTTCAACTTCAAAGTCGTCTTATTTCTATTACGAAAATGATATTATTCTCTATGTCAATGGCATATATCAAGAAAATAATGTAAATATGTGTATACTTTGTCAAAAATGCACTAATGGTTTATCGAAAGAACAGATTCCTAAATTTTCAATAGCAAACAACATGTGGTTAGGTGATGTGCCTCTTGAGTTACAAGGGCTAACCATCCCAGAAGAAAAATTGATATCATTACACTGTCACAATAGTTGTATAATAAAACTACAGTCACCTTTTCATTCAATGGCGACTGCTCAAGGTGCATTAAAAGGCAATTGTATTACTTTTCTACAAAATACACCAAATATTGTTAACAGTCTACCACTTAAAATGGCCGATCTGTGTGACACTCTCAAAGTGATTTTTATTGGAGCTCGTCCTCCAGAGCGTATTCAACTCAAAAGAGTTCTTACAGTGCGAAAGAAAAAGATTGTGGAAGCGCTGCGTTGGTTGAAAAAATATAATATACTTTATAAGAATATCGATATAAATCTAGATAATATCGCACAGCTACCTGAAGATGATATACCAGAATCTATAATGACAACAATGGAACAGATATTAAATGATAAAGAAGTACCATCTGAAAGAGCTGGATATATTCCTGATCCATTATCTAACTCAACAGAATTGAATATCTCAGAAGTCATTCCTGTTAATAACAGGTAGGAACAGCTAGAAAATAAGACTTTTTAAGAACTTTTTCTACTTAATAGTGCTGTCTTCGACGTGAATGGTTCGTCGATATCTTCTGAGGAAATAAATAATTATGTTCTAAAGAAAATTAAAAACGATGGCACAAATGATGAAATGGATGTTGAAAATATTTACTTGATTCCTCATTCTTCCAAACCTGTCAATAAATATTTTAATCCAAAACTGTTAGCAGGTCTCTATCCAACGTTATTCTGTTATGGACTTGGAGCACCTGAAGATCAAACACGGCCACTCACCATAAATTTACGAGAACATATACGTTATCTTTTATCCCACAATGATCGACGTTTCGAAAAAAATCATAGTTTTATATTTGTAGTCTTTAACTTATTGCAAAGACGCGATGCATGTTTCCATGCTCAACTTATAGCAACAAAACCTTATTTTCGATCTTCCGCTCAAGAAATTCACTCATTGAACACTAGTGATATTGAGGCAGCTCTTAAAAATATCTCTACAGGAACATACAATAAAGGATCTAACAAGGCTTTAGGTAAACTGATAAATCATATTAAAACAATTGGCGGTCGAGTTATGGGTTCAGCATATTCACGTACATCCTTACGCACACATCTTCATGCAATGATTTTTAATCAAAGTCTGCCCAATATATTTCTCACTCTCAATCCAGCTGATATTCACAGTCCCGTAGCATTATATTTTGCAGGTGTGAAACTTGATTTGGACAATGTTCAAGCCGAACAACTTATGGACGCATACAAGTGTGCCGAAATTATCGCTTCTCATCCTGTTGCTACTGCCAAATTTTTCCATATATTGATTTCTAATATCTTAGATACAATGATTCTTGGTGGTGTAGTCGGTACTGTGAAAGCATATTTTGGTACTGTTGAAAGTTAAGGACGAGGCTCACTTCATTGGCACCTCCTTATTTGGCTTAATCATGACTTGAAGCCAGTTGATATGAAGAACAAGATTCAAGATCCAAGTTTTCGTGAAAATTTGATAGCATATTTAGAAGATATCATCAAAGAAGATCTAGATGAATTCAAAGATAAATATGTCTTCGAGAATTTAGATGGTATAAGAAATTTCTTTAATTTCAATATCGTATTCTTCTTCTATATTGCAGCGCCGAGATCATTCAATACTCCAACACAATTATCAAGTGATAATATTTATGCAGCTTTACGTACTATTGATTTAGCAGGTTTAGAAGAAAATACAAATGAAAATGGTATTCGGTTGACGCCGATGAAAGACCAATCTTCTCCATCCATTCCTTATGCTTCTCCACAACGCACTGAATTATTACAAACAACAATACGCGATCAATCAATATCTAGTATGATTTAATAATTCTTTAATGACACACAAAATCATAATTATCATTTTAGATATGGATGCTTCAGATATCCAGTCAAGGCTACCTACAGCATGTTTGCCTACTCCAAATCCATCTTTACCTAACTTTTGGTCACAATTTTGTGCTGATGTGATACAACTTGTTGAATCAGGTAATGTTCACATACATAGTGATACGTGCTATAAATATTGTAAAGATATGGCGAAGAAAACTTGTCGATTGATTATGCCACGCAAATTGATATCAGTATCGTCAATTGATCCAGAGACTGGTCATATTTCTATGCGACGATCACATCCATGGATTAATAATTTTAATGAATACATTATATCAGCATGTCGTTCCAACATGGATATTAAATTTATTTGGACTGGTAGTGATGCCAAGGCTCTTGTGTATTATATCACTGATTATATCACAAAAACGAGTCTATCTTTTCATGACACATTCTCTCTTATTCAAAAAAGTATTACATCATTCAGAAATGTAGCAGATCAAACAGAGACAGAAAGTGCTATAGAAAGATCACGCAAACTGGTTTTGCGTTGTTACAGCACACTTGCTTCTCAACAAGAGCTCTCTGGAGTTCAAGTTGCCTCTTATCTCATGAATTGGGGCGATCATTACACTACGCACAAATTTCAAGGTCTTTATTTAATTCAAACTGAGATATTTTTACAAACAGAATTAAACGAATTACGCATCAAACAAAATTTAGAACATGCCTCGCATGGTAAGATAATAGTTTACCTTTCTACAATTATTATTTTGCAATAACTTTTATTGAAACCGCAATTGTTTTTCTTCTGCATATGCAAAGCGAAATAGAGAAAAGAGTGAGAACAAGAAAAAAAGAGAAGGAAAAGTCATTTGTGATAAACACAACTTAGACGAAACGAAAAACAATATATATGATAATCATTGAAAACTGAACACTTGTTTTCATAGACCGAGAGAACGGAAAGAGAAAAAAGAATGACATTGACGGATGGAAAATGTTATACACTGTTTCTGATTTTCAAACAATTTATACTCGAAGAATTACATTAGTGTAATTTAGTTATGATACTGCACAAAATAAGTGTTGAGCATCGAACTAATTTATTCAAAATTTAAATGTAATTCTTGTTTTACATATCAAGACAGAAAATATAGACATATATATCTAATTGAATAGACAAATAAACATGAATATATTTTTTTCCACATATAGATGTAATTGACGATGACAATGTGTTTGATGATGAAAATACTGCAGCTGAAGATGATAATGAAGAAAATTTTCAGATTCCATCTACTGAAAATAAAAACAATTTTGTACTTGTCAACACGCGAGTTGATTATCAATATCGATCAGATATCTTAAGCAAAATCTGTTTATACGATTTCGTTAGTACATTTTATAAGAGAAAAATGAATGCAACAGATGCAAAATATTTATCAAAATCTTCCACTACAGAAGACCAACAAGGGATTCGAAAAGGCCGACCACCAAATCAACGTTTTTCTTTTCAAGAACAGCATCCACAAGCGACAACCTACCTGTTGACTGAATACAGTGAGGCTCATATACCGATTCTCTATGGTCCTCAAATTCCTCGACATGATCGTGAAGATACTAAAGAGCGATATAGTCGAGCTCTTCTGACACTTTTTGTACCTTGGCGTTCGGTGTCTGACCTTTGTGATGTTAATGAAAATTGGGAAGATGCACTCAAGTCACGCCAACATCATATATCTGCGGATTCATGGAATATTATAGAAAATATTCAACTCTTACATGAATGTAAGAAAGATCGTGATGAGCATTTACTTCAAGTTATAACTGAAGCTCAAACTGAAAATGATACGATTGATCCTGAATTAGTCATACCAAGTCGTAACAGGCGTGATGAATATGACGACACAAGTGACAATGAAGATTTACTTGAATTGCTTGGTAATTTAAACGAATATACTACCAATGCATTAAATAGCACCAAAAAGACAACAGAAAATATATACATTGAAGAAACCATAGAAGCAGTTGAAAAGGTTGGACGATTTACTCACATACAGAGTAAGCATTATTATTAATTATGAAGTAGATATAAACGTTACTACTTTTTTTATAGAAAATAGTCAATCGTTAGTAAATGAATCTTCTAGAGATCACTTTCAACAAATTGTGCCGTTCGTCTCAGCAACACCTAACCTCGTTCGACTCAATACAAAGTGGCAAGAACAACTAAAGACTGAGAAAGAAAGAGTTAGACGAAGTTCAATTACGGGCAAATACGACAAAACGGATGATACATTAGATTATGATAGTATACAGGATGCACTTGTAAATATGGTCAATTCAAATAATCATAACATAGATATATTTGATAATTACACTCAAATTCTTCCAGTTGCATCAGTCACTACCACAAGCCAGAGATGGAACCGGTCCGGTTTTTTGACGACCGGTACCGGTACCGGTCTAAAACTTTTAGACCGGACCGGACCGGCCGGTCTACCGGTTTGACCGGTCTAACGGTAAATACCGGTAGACCGGCAATTACCGGTAGACCGGTAAAGACCGGTAGACCGGCAAGAAACCGGTAGACCGGTAGAAATCAGTAGTGTAAAAGTCGTTAAATCGATTCGACTTGAACGGATCTTATACTAGATTTGACTGCTAACAACGTTCAGATTTTATCCCCGTAGGGGGGTACAGATAAATTTTCGGAAAAAAAATTATTTTTCGGGAAAAAAAGTTTTTAGCAGAAAACAGGGCAGTAAAAAACCGGTAGACCGGTAAGTACCGGTAGACCGGCAAATACCGGTAGACCGGTAAGAAACTGGTAGACCGGCAAGTACCGGTAGACCGGCAGACCGGTAAATACCGGTAGAGTTACCGGTCTAAAGTTCGGACCGGTACCGGACCGGACCGGACCGGACCGGCCGATTGCCGGTACCGGTTCCATCTCTGCCACAAGCTATTCTACTTAGCAAAGTATTATTGTTGAATATACATTGAATAGAGAACAACGAGCTGCATTTATGCTAATAACCAGACATCTTGATGGTGACAAGGAACGTCATATAGGTATTTTAATGATCTATACGTCTAATAATAAATCAAAATAATATATATATATATATATAGGTACCAACAATGGTCAGCTGATAATGTGCATACCTGGATGTGGCGGGACCGGTAAATCACAATTGATTCGTGCTGTCACCAAATACTTCCTTGTTACAAAAAGAATACAAATGATGCGAAAACTCGCACCCACCGGAATCGCTGCTGCTGAAATTGGCGGCATGACAATCCATTCATTTTTAGGTGAACAACGTAATTCGGGAAAGCCGCGCACCATCAAGCCAGGTGATTCCAAACTTGAAAAACAATGGGCACTCGTTGAATATCTCCTAATCGATGAGATGAGTATGGTTGGTTTAACTCTACTTGCAAAACTCAATCGAATTCTTTCCGCTGCCAAACATGCCGATCCTCAAATTCCATTTGGTGGCATAAACGTCATATTTTTTGGTGATTATTTACAGTATCGACCAGTATATGATGAACCGTTGTACACTGACTTCTCACAGCCCTCTAAAAACAAATCAGGCCAATCACGTAGTGAAAAAGAAATTCAACAACGCGCTGCACGTTCCCTGATACTTCAAATTAACTGTGTGATCAAACTTAGTCAACAGATGCGAACAGAAGATGAACGATACCGTGAATTACTCGAACGGCTTCGCCAAGGTGACTGTACTTTGGGAGATTACGAATTACTGTTAACACGCGTCGTTGGTCAGCCATCGGTCAGTTCTCTTCGCGAATCACCATGGAACGAAGTAAATTCTTTTTTCTTTTTAAAATAATTCTTCATCGTTTTGATGTTTAGGCTCCCATTTTAGCATATCGAAATGAAGTACGAACGCAATTAAATAACAAAGCAGCAGTTCATAATGCAGCACAACTAGGTCACCAGCTAATGGTATGTGTCGCTCAAGATACCTGCAGAGGCAAAGCAATTGAAGATCCTATACTTATGAAAAAATTATTGGAATTATCTGACAGCAAGACGGAACATTTACCCGGTTTGTTGCCATTTGTTCCTGGAATGCCAGTTATTTTAACGCAAAATCTTGCTATTGAACTGGGTCTTATTAACGGCATAAATGAAATATTTCGACAATTAGTCTACGAGGCTGATTCTGTATCAATAGATGCTCTATCAAACACATTTCCGAGCAACACACAGTACGTGCATCGACCTTTATATGCATTAATTGAAATTGCACGATCGAAAATTGAATGTAATCTTGAAACACTTCAACCAAAAATCGTCCCAGTACCGCTAATGGAACAAACGTTTCGTTTCGACGTTACTGACATTCTTCCAAAAAATAAAAAGCCAAAATCGAACCAGAAAGCAATGTTGTCAATTGAACGACGTGCACGACCACTTGTACCTGCTTATTGTATTACAACACATAAGAGTCAAGGTCAAACTTTGAGTAAAGCCGTGATTGACCTTAAACTGCCGAATGAAACTGAAG